AGGTGCACTCAGCCATACAAGATTTAGGTTGCATTTAAACTTCTTGGATTCATGTGGCACTCAGTGCATAACGATACACATACCTCGCGCATGTTGGGCCTTCTGGGATTTCCCAGGATACCTATTGGTAAAGCTACGTGGTTCGATTTTCATTGCCGGTTCTACAATGGAGCACGTGTTCAGGGTTGACCTTATTAAACGAATAGATAAGAAGTGCACCACGTAAATTCCACGTCTCAGGATTTCAAAACAAGAATAACTCAAAATCTATTCCCTTTTTGGATTATGAGTTCCTTCACCCGGATGACGGAGTATTTTTTTTTAATATTTATATATTTTTAAGTATTTCCCAGTACAACACCTAAGCATCATTGAACCGTATGAGTATGTGGAGTTGGGGTACATGTGTCTCAATTTCGACCAATTCTCACGAGGTTATAAAATGATCCGAGTTGAATTACCACTCTCAATTCCGCATTTGAGAAGCGAATACCGAAAAACCGAAGTTACCCAGTGCTCCTGAAAAAAAAAAAAAACCAATTTATTTTATCTGGATTGGATGAGTTCATTTGTTCTCGACCGACAAGTTCATTCGCATCATATGTGCCTTCTTCTTTATTCTATTTGTTGTTTTATTTTATTTTCCTATTTTCATTATCACATTTGCTCGTAGTACTATCTATAAACTGTATTGATACTGCATACGTGAACCTAATTAATAATGCAGTGTCCGGTGAGGGCAAACAATTAGGACTAGGTGAAATTCATCCTCAGCGAGATGTTTAACTAATATATTCTATTACTTTACTTATAGTAGAGGAAGCAAAGCTTCTGTCGATCAAGTGTTTCTTTTTCTTTATTTTTGACTTGAAATTTATATCTTACGTTTACTTCATTTTTTATCTCTATCAATTGTTACACATCGAACCAAGATAGCAGTCGAGACTGAGAAGTCGTCTTTTGAAGGTTTTGTAAAACGCCGTTACTGAATTTTTTTTATTTCTTGAATAATATTAAGTATTCTTATGCGAAAGGATCCCTATGGGCGTATCTATTTATCATATGCGAACGCAAAACACTTTTTACGTGGTTATAACTTGTCATTGTTTTTCATCTTCGTCAGTGTTTTCATTAATTATTAATTCTTCTATTAATTCTAATTCTTCTAATTATTAAATCAGTACACACTGACTTTGGTCTTTATGATATTTCAAAATTACAATTTCACATAACAGTGTATGACAGTCGGCTCGAAGACGTCAATACGACTATACAAGTCAGCTAAGAGACATGTTAAAGATATACATATATCGATCAGTTAGCAAGCGTCTTAAAAATGCCTGAGTTGGTCGTCTTGAAAACGTTCGTGTGAGATAGCTAAATGGCGACGAAAAATGTTGCATTACTCTCCATTTCACCGTCTAAACGATGTCTATAAAGCGCCTTCGCGACATGTCTTCGAACTTCGAAGACATCCGGTTGACATCTTTAAGATATCTTATGCGCAGTCTGGGTTCATTACTGTTCGGTCGATTGTTTGTAGCTGTTTTATACTCTTCATTGTTGCTAGATTACGTTATAGTGTGTATTCACCTTACTGACTGCAACTATGGAAGTCGTGTAATTGCACCTATATTATATTGATAAAATGGAGCAATAATTATTTTCCAATCCAGTTAACCGAATTTCTTTACAAATACATATACTTGAGCGCGGACTCAGTTCAAATATTAGTTGATCATTTGATTGTGCTATAGTAATTAATATTACAATAATAATAAATATTATAATCCTAATATCAAATTAAACTAGAGAAAAGTTATATCACAGTGAATTATAGTATTTTATTAATGAATAAACAAATGCTATATTAATAAGATAATTTTTATTTATAACTTACGATCCTCGACTAAAATAATACAAATAGGTACTTTTTTACATGTATAATAATTTATACATTATTTAATTCAAGTACAAAATTAATAGAACTTCTGGTGCCCCACATGAACCGACTGGGATTAATACATGAACGAAAAATTAAATCTACTGAAAAAACATTCTTGAGAAATAGATACTCGCCTCTCTAACTATAAATATTCGAGGACTAAAGAAAGTCCGCTGACGAAACCACTTTTCTCGCAAATTTCCGTTCGCGCGTGAAAAAACATACCCATTCTTCTGTATTCTGTAATATAAAAGAAAAAAAAAATATTTTCCATTATAAAATATTTTTTTTACGTGTGCAAGAATTCTTACTCTATTGTCAATGTCTGGCTGGAATTCGCAAAAGAAATCGCAGCGAAAACGTTGCGAATAAGATATTCAAAAGAATTCAGCATATTCGCGCTCATTTGAGAATTCGCACGTATGACACTCGCAGCATGATATGCATTCTCGTATAGGGATTCCGAATAGGTTGAACTGCTGAACACATTCATACGGTTGCGCACATTCACCTCTTCGAAAAACAATAGACTTTGGCTCTGCTTACTCTTTTCATTTCCTTGGCTCTTTTGCCGTATCTCGCATACAGAAACGGACTTTTGTCAATACAATACTAAATGCATTATGCAATTTTGTGGGGAGACACAGTCTAGACAGATATAATATATTGTCCTGAACATTAATATAGATGCGACAAAGCACAGCCGTACGTATAGAAGTTGTCCTTCGGTCACTATTATTATAAGATCGTAATTTTAGCCCAGATTGAAGAAGAATGAATCTTTGACAAGGTGCTTAAATTATAGACGTGCTAGGATCTTTGTAATAAGGATGCCAAACTGGATTTCAGGTAATTAATTGAATACTGTAGCCTATATTGCAGTACGTGTTACTATAGTACTAGAGTCACTTACTTACATGTAGAACGGTCGCGAGTATGTCTAGGTTATATATAACCATTGTGAAGACCTAAATGCATTATATGTGAAACAAGTACTCTTATTCGTGAAGAATATTTAGAAGTCAGCTCACTGTATGATTGGTGGATACAAATAAGAATCAAGAAATTTCAGATTCTTTAAAAAATATCAGGTGAAAGTATAAAGTTGATAAAGTTCACTATTTGCTTAAAACTTTATTGAAAGTTCAACATTTGTGTATATAAATGAATGTTTTAATAATAATACTACCATAAAATATAAAATATCATATAATTGCTGTGGCAGAATTTAAAAAGCTTATATAACTTGCTTTCTTTATTATCATCCAGGAACCAGTCGAAATGGATGATCGATGTCTTAAAATTTTTTAAACCAGCGAGTAACAAATAAATGGGCACCCAAGTTCTACGGCTGAAAACAACATTAAATACGAAAACGAGTACCATGTATAATCGGAATTATACCACTAAACTGTCTTCGAAAACTACCCTAGCCTAGTTCTTTCTCGGTGGAGTCGTAAATCAGGAAACAACGGTACTGAAAAGTTCCAAAAACTAGGGAGGTTTACTAACAACTACACTGAGCTAACACGTAAGAAATTTGCACTGTAAAATACGGAACCACAAACTGCCCCGATTTATTAAATGAAATTCAAAATAATACTGGAACAACGGTTCCTGAGTAAATTATACAAATTTCACGTAGAATGGGACCGAGATGTTCCATAATCTAAATAATTAAGTCGACGGTTCCGCGAATCAATTAAAAAAGAAACTGAGCCATTTACAAGAATCTATAATTCTAGAAAAATAAAATAGGCTCTATACAATATGGCAAGAAAATCTAAAATAAGTGAAACAAACTTTCTGCAAATTCTACGCAAAGTGTACAAGCTGAACGATACTACATAAATTTGTAAATTAACTTGTGTGAGGGAGTGGACTGTATAGGTGCTAACGTAAAAATAAGAACAACAAATAAACAATAAAAGATAGGACCACTTCTATACTGCCCCACCGTTTAAGCAATCTTCGGGTTCAAAATTGATCAGAAATGCGTATGGCAACTTAGTTGCCATCCAGAATATCCAGAGGTACTGAATTTTTTGGATACCAGGTTTCTAAAGCAATCACGATACAATTGTTCAAATTAATACAATTCCATTTTTTTGGATACCAGGTTTCTAAAGCAATCACGATACAATACGGTAAACTATAGAGAATTATAAACTTGACAACTGACAACGAAAAGTACGATTGTCTCTAGACTCAGCCACACCGTGAGCACCTACTGCTGTGAATTTAAAAAATCGAAAATCTTACGGAAAAATGCGCCATAATACATCCATCCTAATCTAATGAGATTCCTGGTTAAATCTTGGCATCTTTTGTTGTTGCGATGGCTGCAGTGCAATTTTCTAGAGGCGGGAATCTCATCCAATTCTACACACTCGATGTGTGGCTCCAGGCAGTCATTTCAACCTCCTGATACCCTCTGAATCGTGAAGACACTGGCCGATTACCTGGTGTAGCTGGGTTTCAGGGTGTGTGCTCCGATTCTTACGTTTTCTTCGCCTCACCGCTGCACTCCGCCAGCCTCGTAATTGGTACTCTCAGGCCCCGAAGCAATAAAATTTTGAGTGGAATCTTTCGAATCTGCTTAAAGATTCCAAAATGGAATAAAGTTCCCTAGAGAGAAATAAATAAAAATTTATAAAATAATACAATCCAACGCCACGGAACCAGATCCCAACGCACAGGCTCGCACCGTGTAATCGAAAAATCGCTAAGTTTGACCATTTTTCGACGTGCATCAAAATGCCACGTCACAACGTATGTAGAAATTTCATAAAATTCATAGAAATCCAACAAACGCGCCGATAAAGCGTGTTCATAATTTTCTCATGTCACACATTCATCTGCTAATATCTGATAAGTCTACAGAACACTGTAGTTGTAGAAAATGGGGTTCGAATAAAAAAAAAACTAATCGTTTTGCAATTCAACAAAATTTATTTATTAATCGATCAAATCAATACGCACGTTCGTAATTATTCGATCCAGGAGCTTTTGACTGTGCAATATTTATTGTGTGTTTTCCTCTTCTTCGTTGCAGATATCAACGTTAGTCTCTCATAGAGAACGGCCATTATGTTCCGATCGGAGTTTACGTGCTGTTGCAAGAGTTGGCCAAGCTGTCAACTTGGCAGTCGAGCGATTCGTCACTGTAGGAGAAACAATCGCCGACGACAATCCGGAGATCAAACAAGATATGTACGAGGCCTGCAAAGAAGCCAGAGTAGCAGGTACCATACATTTTAAAAAAATAATATTCTTTACGATTTTCAATGGACTCGACGATATCATTTAGCAAATATAAGATTCCAAACCACAGAAAAGTTGAGGAAGGTAAGGTAAGGTCATATTCGATTTTCGACGATCGATGGAGTAGAGCTAGATGAGATTCATATCAAAATTATTAGAGTTAATTTTACGAATAAAATTCATTGCATCCAGAAAATGGCGTATGAGTAAAATGATAAAATTGTATGAAGCCGACGATGGAATGAGTTAAGAACAATGGCTATGATCTATTCAGCGACTTGGCGTGATTCAAAAACTTCATTATTTTTAACAAACAATTTTGTGAAAAGATGGAATATACCAACAATTTTTTTATCTGATTTTCTGTTATATTTTACCAGGTCTCTAGTATTTATAGGAAAACACAGTGGAATAGTTTTTTTATTGTATACTGTATATTAGTGCAATACGGTTCAGGAAGTACATACAAAAATAACTATGGAACTTATTTTTACTTGGTCGATCGATGTGTATCTACTATCGACTACGTGTATGAACTGTATACCTGCTAAAATTACTAGGTCATAAAACTTAACCGCAATAATACCAATTATCACGATATTTCAAAAAGCAAAACTTTTCTATAATAATCTGCAAGACAAGATGATTGATGAAAGCTGATGGTCTTTCACGCGTGAGTATAGTTTTTCGCGATTGCATATAAGATAGTGATTATAGTATAGTGCAGTACACGTGTCTGCTCGCATAACCTGCATACGTTGGTATACAATAATTTTGAAAGAATTCTTAAAGTATTACAATGCTAAGGATTTGAATTTCACAAACACACAAAATAGAATCGATAACAACACAAAAACATTGCTAGAGGTAGATAGAAGGGCAGTCTTAAAAAGCTATTGGTGTGTTATAACTTGTAAAGTTATAAGATACAATAGATTTTGATTATCCCGAAGCTTTATCGTAAATCCAATTACAACGTATAATACACCGACATCTAATTCGCTGATAATATACGAGTCATTTTAGGGTGTCGCTTTTTGAAATTGCTTTTTGCAATTCACAAAAAAAAATCATTTTCAATTAAATCTTTTGAATACTACCACCACCCCGAACCCGAGTACCACATTATTCGATTTAACGCTACTAACATCCATTCGTAATAACACTTTTTATCAGCTGTCTACTCAGCGATGATACTACCACTACGTTGATTAAAATTGTCAAATTGAGCATCCAAATTGTCAGCTTGTCCGGTAAAAGAGCAAATTTGATATATACTAAAATCCTTGGCAAAATATCTCAGGAAACACTGACTACAAAACTGTGTCAAGGAACACCAAGAAAACAGAGAATTATAGTTCAAAACACTTACTTACACTGCGACGTGGAGATTACAATGCGGATATTCAGCCATTCGAAGATCAGCTACTTGACGATGAGACTGAATAAAAGATTCTACTGGGTTAAATTGATAGAGAAGGGCTGATTTAATTATGATTTATTATAATAACTAATACGAGAACCCAATTATCCATGGTACAATAAATATTATTTTGAAAAAGCGGACCCATCGCCGTCACCTAGACAACCTCTGGACTTGAAGACATTTTTTACAATGAATCGTGTATATGTAGATGACGTAGTAAGGCAATAACAAGAAAAACAATGTTTTTTTCATAAGTATAGATATGTGTGCAGATCAAATACTCTATACGAAAATGCATGTTTACACAATCTTAAGGGAGCAGAATTGCATTGAATCAATAAGGCAAATAATATTTGTGAAGGAAAATGATTTATTTGGGCCAAACTTTATTCTTCTCGTATTTTTATCGCTTGCCGGATAAAGACACGCTTCCAGATAACGAATATCGAGGACCAAAACGGTCTTAATTATTATACAAGAAGTAACAATTATAATTTGCCATTAATGCTTTACGATCGAACTCTTGGTTGAGTTGATTTTCTATAAAAAATATTAATTATCTGTCAAAAATTTAAAAACTGAATCCCACTGTTATTCTCTATATAATAGCGAATGATGGAAACAAACAGAATAAAAAAAGTTATTTACCTCATGGGAATCCAAGAAATGCAGTCGAGCAAGGCAAATAATAATTTTTTAATTTAGCACATCGATACACTTAGCATACCAATGGGAATTGTGCGAAACTTATAAAATAAAACACCGTAATCCGAAAATATAGTAAAAACGTATCTGTAACAGTCGATGGTCCCTTGGGTAGCCACTCAATCGAGCTGACTCCAATTCTTGATGTAGAATGCATCGTGGAAAATTCGCAAGATAATAAATCTTCCTGAAATGAAACTGTCCGCGCACAATATACATGTACTATATATAAACGCATATATACATTGGATATTATATATATTATATATATATATATATATATATATATATATATATATATATATATATATATATACT